GACAGCTTGAGGCTCTGTCTCAACAAAAAAAAAAAAAAAAAAAAAGTGAAAAAGCAAAAGCAAAATGCAATTTGTATTGATAATGTATACAAACTTCAACCAAGACAGATTTGCATACATAATGTTTAATGCCTGAGGGAATAAAAGGGAAAATAGAAGTAAGTTATTTAATAGAGTGACAGGATTGTAGATTAACTTTAATTTTCCTTGCCATTATTGTTGTGATAGAATTGTGCAATGCATAACAAAAAATAAAATTAGGCCGGATGCTGTGGCTCACACCTGTAATCCTAGCACTCTGGGAGGCCGAGGAGTGTGGATTGCCTTCAGCTCACAGGTTCGATACCAGCCTGAACCAGAGCCAGATGTGGTCTCTAAAAATAGCCCAGCGTTGTGGCAGGCGCCTGTAGTCCCAGCTACTCAGGAGGCTGAGACAAGAGAATCGCTTAAGCCCAAGAGTTTGAGGTTGCTGTGAGCTATGATATCACAGCACTATATCCCAGGACAACTGAACGAGACCCTCTCAAAATAATAATAATAATAATAATAGGTAAATAAAATAAAATTGAATTCTTGGTCACTTTTTAAGCTCTTTCCAAAGTTGACACTTTCTTCCTCCCTCTACTTAGTAACCTGCAGGCCAAGAAAGAAGGTAAGTTTACAAATAGCTGTAAAGGGCTCCACCTTAAAAGGTCTGAAGATAAAGTGCTTTCCCACTCAGAGAGGGGAGGGATGTAGTACAGGCCTTTAAGATGCAAATCTTTTCCCCAGAGTCTGTCTCTAGATCTTCCCCTGATTTCTCGATCTTCCTCTGATTTTGTTCTCAGATTGGGAAAGTACTTGGGATTTTCCTACACCCTTTTCTTCCCCAAACTCTCTCTCCCCAAACAAATATTTTAAAATTCTATAAACAGGGCTGGGCACAGTGGCTCATTCCTATTATCCTATCACCTTGAAGGGTGAAGGTAGGAGGATCTCTTGAGCTGGAAAGTTTGAGGTTGCTGTGACCTATGACATCATGGCACTCCACCCAGGGCAACAGTTTGAGATTCTGTCTCCCAAAAAAAAAAAAAAAGAAAGAAAGAAAGAAAAAAGGAAGGAAGGAAGGAAGGAAGAAGGAAAGAAAGGAAAAAAAGCTCCTATTTCCAGGTGAAAATCTTTTTTTTTTTTTTTTGAGACAAAGCCTCAAGCTATCCCCCTGGGTAGAGTGCTATGGCATCACAGCTCACAGTAACCTCCAACTCCTGGGCTCAAGC